TTGAGCATTGTTTTTCAGAGCATCCTATATGGAGCTTGTCTGGGTGGTCCTGATGAGGGACACCTCCTCCTATGTGCAGGCAGCCGGGATATCTTGAGTGTTGGAAAATTTCCCTTGGTTGGGATGGGTGCAAACTCAATCCCTCACCATTCTGTTCCTCTTAATAAACACAGGAGTTTAGCTAATTAGGCAAACTTTAGTATTAAGGCTAAAGCCCACTTTAAAAGCCATGTCTTCAGTTACAGGTTGAGGTGATTTATAAACTAGAAGCAGTTTGGTGATTAGCTAATGCTCTATGATCTGCAAGGAAATTTCAATTAAAATGTAAGACTGCAAGTAATCATACAAATTAAGGAATGAGGAATATACATCTAATTTTAATGCTTGCAAAATAATATTGCTGAAAAATACAAATCTACCATAATAATGTATATTTGTATGCATAGACACGTCTTCAATGCATAGTGATCCCATAGATCTTGAATGTGCAGTGGTGAATGTAACATGGAATGGTAAAGAAAATGCTAATTTGACTTTGTAACAAAGAGAGGAGAGCACAATAAAGGAACGTAAGGTACAGGCTTGGTATTTTAATGGAGAAGAGCAGCTCACCTTAGGCTGGTGTCCATCTCCAGCAAAATGAAGCTGTAAAAAACATGTGTATGTGCCAAGACCTGCAATATTGTGTTGGCTTATTATTTGTACTTTGTGATTTATCTTTGGCCTTGTTACATCTTCAGTAAAAGCACTGCTGTTTCCTCCGTTGTACTCTTTTCTGCTTCATGACTTTGCCCAGTTTTCAGCCTCAGGTTTCATGTGTCACTAGTTGAAGGAGACAAACCTCATAAATTATGGAACCTGAAATCAGATTTTAGTTAAACTCAGTGTTCTAGCCAACAAGAAGAGTTCAGTTGGGGGGGGGGGCTAACATCCTCCATTGTCAGTACTGTCAGTATTTACTTCCAAAGCAGCGCCTTCAAATCCATGTGAGTCTCTTCCCTACCATCAAAAGAGCTAATACTGAAAATTCAGTGAGCGCATAACTCCTATAGACTGTCTAGATAATCCAAATCTTAGGGCATCTATGGTCTTGGGGAAAACGGACAGCCCTCATACTTCCTTCTGAGAAAGTATCAGGGAAAAGCCCCAATAACCCTTTCCAAATCCTTCTCTCTGTCAAGGGAAATCCACACTTAGGCTACGAGCCACCAGCTCTTACTGGTGTAGAAATTTTATTTTGTGCACTACAGGTATTGGTCAAGTTTATTCTCAAGGCCTGTGGTCCCATGAGCTGCTGAAATGCAGTGGGAGACTGTACTTGTCTTGCAGGGCTTGTAATAGTAGCCAACTGAGCTGATAAAGGGAAAGTGTCAGAGGAAAACTGAGATCAGCAAGTCAGGAGCAGAACCAGGAGCTGAGCCCAGATGAATTTCAGTGCTGGGTCAGACTGGTATGGTACTTTTTAGAAGCAGTAAATTCAAATCACATTTGCATTATCCTGACACAGGGTCAACAGCAGAGTGCACAAGGAGAGAAGTCCGGAAAGGAGGGCAAATCAAAGGCAGTGGGGATCTGCCGGCTACATAATGCGAACACAGTAAATCTTGGTTATTTGCATTCTCTGGAATCAGAGATATTTGAATTTTTGGGTTGCATTTGATGGGCAGTAAGAAGCTATTTTTACTCCAGAGCAGGACCAGAACACTGTGTCAGCATTTTGTCCTGATGCAAATGCTGGTAGGGTGGGTGACTGTGCAGGGGCAGGCAGCTCTGTCCCTCGATTAGCCTTGGTAGTGCTGTTGGATCTCTGTCGGGCCATTCCAGTTTAAAACAGACACAGTTATTGTTGGCCAGCAAGCACCCTAACAGAGAGGGGAAATGCATCCTCCTCCTCTTCACTTTCCTCACTCTACTTTAGACTCCCTGCAGCTATGACAAGGACTTGTCTTTGATGGCAGGTGCTGAGTCCCAATTTTTAACAAGAGTTTAGCAGGAATCAGGTGAGAAAAGGTTCAAACACTTAAGCAGAATCACTGTAAGTCCTGGCAGTCAATTTATGTCTCCCCTTAACAGTCCAGCTGTTGGATACAAAGACAGCTTGAGGATCACACTGTGTTGCCCCAGGTTCATCACTTTGGTAGCTGGCAGGACCCTGGAGCTGAGGATAAGCAGCATGAGAACGGGTTTTATATCAAACCCTGTCAAACCACTTCAAACCACCTGAGGTGTCTTATTTCAATTATAGATTTAAAAATAAAATTGTTTTCTGTTCCCTGATTCACTGATTCCTTCTTGGGTTGTCTTAGAATTGCTTTGAGGCTCAGAGGCAGAAAGCACCTAATAAGGATTTAGCTAAATGGATGCTTATCTGGTTGTGTCTCTTCAATCTTGAAATGCCATAAGTTATCCTACACTGGCTGAACTTTTAAAAACATGTCACCAGTCTGTCAGTGAGTGAGTAAAGAGTTAAAATATACCCAGAACATATAGCAGTGCTTAAAGCTTGGTCAGAAGTTATTTTACCCAAAGCTTATACTCAGTCCCAATTCCTGCAAGCTGTAGAGGCTCTGTCTTTATTTCCAAGATAATTTCCAGACCTGTCTTCTTTCAGGAAAAATGGGTCAAGGGTTTCCTTGGAAATTTGGCCTTGATTGTGCCTGACCCTCACAGCTTAGGTACACTGCCACAGTCACTCCCAGCCTCTTCTGCACATGGCCTTGGCCATACACTTTATTTGTTTATTCCCACAGTCCCAGACTCTACCAGAATGGATTGTAGGAAGCAGCAACATCATCTTGTCTTTCTATGTGGGAAGTGAGATAGCTGCATTAATTATATGTTTCCCAGCCTCTTCCCACTGGCAACAGCATGTGCAAGAACAAGTGGTTATTTAGGGCCAAGGGGGCTGTGAGTTTGGGGCTGTTGTAACCAAAGAAGGAATATCAATGATGACAACCAGAAAATATGTTTCTCCAGGGAGTTACTGGGGGGATTTCATATGCATGAAAAAGACAAGCCAACAAATATGAAAGCACTGAGGAATAAATTAATTTAAAGCCTCATCAGAAATGAAGCTGTCTGTAAACATAGAGGACAACATGAAGGAATTTAATACCTTTGTGGTGCTTATCTGCAGGCCAAGCAGAATACATGGAAAATAATATTGTCTCTGAGAGCAGAAGGCCTGAGGTCTTTCGTAGTTGTGGGGTTTGGGGATTTGGTTTTGGGTTTTGAAGCAGCTTTCAGGAAATTCATTCAGAGAAGCTGCAATACGGATATCTCAAGAATGTAAGTTTTTATGTGAAATTGAATCGAATTTAATGTGTTTCTCTGGCAGTCAATAAAATGGGAGGGAGAGGTGCAGAGAAACTGTGATGTTGAAAAACCTCACAAAGCTGAAGAGCGAGGACTGTCGTTTTAAATACTTGAGGGCAGATAAGACCATTGATTTCAAGGAACCTCATTAGGTTGTGTGATTAATGGCTCTTATGCTGCACTCAAAGGAGAAACACTGGGGAGGGACAGACCCCAATAGCCTATGCTGGCAGAGAAACAATGCCCAGACCCTGCTGGTCCCAGGGCTGCCCCAGGAGACCCTCAACCCCATGGGTCAGGGATGACACCCACCTCATGAGCTGATGAGGACAAAAAGCTTCTTATTGGATGTTTAGGGGAGGAATTAAAGGAGGAGAAAAGGAGGAATCTCACTGGTCCAGCAAGGAAAAGCATGGTAAAACAGTGGGATACATGTAAATATTTTGCTGGCCTGGCCATGCTTGTCTGGCCATACCCTGCTCCAAATCAGTGCAGACTGTCCTGTCTTCTCATTAAACTCCATTTCAAACTACTGCCCTGGGTGAGGGGGCTCCCTCTTCTGTTTGCATATGTGTATGAGGGTCTGGAATCACTGGAGTCACACTGTGGGTTGGAGGCCATGTGTGTCTGTGGTGCCAGCAGCTAGAGAGACCAGAGTGTACATGTTGTCTGAGTGTGTATGTTAGTGTGTGATCACTAATGAATACAGGACAGACTAGCTGGTGGGAGGTGCCATACTGGGGTGGTCACAAGTCTGGGCCAGATATGGGAGAGACATGAGACGGCTGAGTTGGCTGCTGGAGGGACAAAGGGGTCCAAGCCAGCTACTGGAGAGACAATGAGGTCTGGGAGTCTGCTGAGAGACCTGCTTAAGCACTTATATGCATAAGGCAACTGGAGATGAGAAAATCCAAGGGCCAGCTACTAGCAGTGCAGTGTCTGAGGCCAGTTAACGGAGGTATCCATATTGTACGTATAGCTATAGGAGTCATCTCGCTCTTGGAAATCAGTTTCATGCACCAGAATGACTGCTCTTTTCCTGATTTTCTTCTCTGGTATCACATTCTCTGATTGCCGTCACTCGATGATCTCCTTTCAGATTGAAACCAATCATCCTTCAATTTTCTAAAACTATCTTAATAATTAATGCCCTGTCTTCTGCTCGTGTCCCCCACCGTGTAGTGAGAGCCTGTTCAGAAATATCACACCAGTGACACCAGGTATCACTGGATTATTTCCTAGTTGTTTTCTTGTCCTGATCCTCCAAAAACTTTGTCACAACTTGTTTGATCCAAATAGAGTTACAAACAAACATGAAATAACTCCCCACAGCCATCCATCTAAAAGTAAAATTACTGTTTCTGAACTCTCAATATCCATTTGCAATTTTTAAGGATCATTTTGAGATTTGGAGGAAGGCACAGTTTTAGAAGGAGTTAGGCAGATATTTATCTCCTGTCTGTCTAATTTCATTGCTGAAAACTAATGCTCACTGTTGACTGAATATGGGTCTTTTAAATGAGAAATTTAATATCACTATGGTTTGTTCTTTTTTCCTTTTTTTTTTTAAATGAAGCCAAACCAGTTATTATTTCACAGTGCATTACTGAGCTTTTCTGTCATATTTTTCAGTTTCTTATCATAAATTAAGCTTAACTGACTGGTGGGCAAGTCCAAATTCAATATAATGAGGCAGGATCCATTTCTTTATTACAGTGTAGGCAGACTATTGTATATGTAGTTTCGGGGTATTATTTTGGATTCAACAAAGGTTCTTAGTACTTAAGTACTTGGATTTATGATGGCAATGTATCTTTCGGTTAATGGTTTCTGGAGACTGGGACAGCAAAATGAGAGTCAAAACTGCTAGAAGGGTCATCTAAGGTTCAGGGCAACTTCTGGTAAATCGGTGTATATGACTTCTGTCTTCCTTTCTTCTGATTCCTGCTATGGAACCACTTTCCAAGGAAAGTCATGGTTGGATAGACAGCTATTGACATTTATAGTCTACATATAAGTTGAGTGTTTGGAGATCTTTAGTGAAGAAAATGTAGAAAAAATTCAGGGTTCAGGGGATGTGAGCTTTTGCTGAGACAAAAATTCATCTGCACCTGAGTACCCAATGTTTCTATTGCCTAGTTCAAACAAGACATTGACAAATTCCAGGCTTGGAAGTCAGAAGTATCAGGTATCTGCTAGGAAGAAAGGCTGCCAACTCGAAATGATGACTAACCTGGCCTGAAACATACTCAAAACTCAGCTAGATAACATTCTGGGCAACCTGACCTAACTTTGAACTTAACCCTGTTTTCAGTGGGAGGTTGTACTAGGGCCTTCAGAGGTCCTTTCCAACTTAGACTATTCTAAATTATTTTGAGTCTCTGTTCAATTTATCTTTCATATTTTATTACATTTTTTAACATTTTTGATATTTTTCTCAAGTCTCATAATGAAATGTACTGTTAAAATTTGTGCACACTGAGCTGCAAAAGTTTGAGAGAAAGTATACAATTGTCCAGGAACAATTTATTTGCTTTTCATTTTCTTTTGTAAACCTGAGAAACAATGGGAATGAAGAAGAAGGCCATAGGTCCATGTGAAATAGCAATGCTGAAGAAAAACTCCTGTAGAAAGTGAATAGAGCCAGACACTCCAGCCCTAAGTGCAGGAGCTGAAGAAAATATTTTATTCACTAGCAATGTTTCCTTACCCTTTGCACAACTACTTTGCTATATGCTTTGCCTGTCTTGTGTCAGAACTGTAGGCACATGCTGGCTTTTTCTTAAAATTCATACAGTGCTCTCAAGAAAGGCTCATGTCTCATCACAGGCGTACAAATAGCAATGAGGTAAGGAATGCCAGACTCCAGGAAGCAAGTCTCCACTATAATGAGCTTTAGATCCTCTGGTTTTGTTTCTAATGCTGTGGAAGAATCTGCTGTGGGTTTAAAGGTTTGAGAGGATTTTGTTTAAAGACTGCAGATAGGCATTTAAGGGCTTGAACCAGGTAATATTCAAGCAAACTGTTGGAATTGGTGAGTTCTGGGCTGCTTCATGACAGTAGCAGAGGTTACTGTTGTGTATGTTGGTGATGCTTTTTTAAATACAGAGGATAGTAAAAAAGGGACCAGGTTTCCTGGTCTTACTTGCTAGAAGAAAACACCCACAAAGCCTGTGAAAGCCAGTCAAGGTGCAGATGCAAAAAACTGACAATAGGTGGGGTTTTTCCTTCTTTCTTACTACTCCATTAATTGGTATTAGTGTGTTTTTCAGTCATGAGTAAAGACCTGAGGTTTTAAAGGGCTATTCTTCTTTCACTGAAGTTCAATGTTAAGTGCATTTTGCAGATGGTCTCATTAGGTAGTAAAACTAAGAGCAAAAAGATTCTGGCTTCTTAATTTGTCTATGTGACAGTGTCAGTGCTTCAGAGGAGTAACTCTGGAGTCAGCAGCTAGCTGATATATATACCTGCAAATTGAACTTTAATGAGAAAAGTGCTTTATGTCCCTAGTAGTCACCATACAGCAAGCAGTGATCTCACCTTCAATGAAAAGGACTGTGTTTCCAAGTGAGCAGCATCCCTCTGCCTATCAGCATGAAATTGTGTGTGTGAGATCGCAAGTGTTCAGCATTCAGTAACTTCCTGTTCTCATAGAGAGAGGGGCAGAAGAGACTTACGCACACAGACCTACCTGTCTTTGCTTACAGAGAAAGTATTCTATCACCATAATCTTCCAGCTGACTCTTGTCTTCAGCAGCCTCTGTTTATGGCTCAGCTCCAGAGAATACATTGTGCCTCTTGGACGTTACAGGGGTGTGCATTGAGGGCAGACAATTCCTCTCTAGCCCTGCATCAAACCAATGCGTTATGTTACCAGGTAGCCATGACTTTGGAGATTAAATGGAGATGTTCTTTGAAATGCTCTCTTGTGCATCAGAGGTGACTGACCAGATGGTTTTTACAATGTGTGGAAATCCGGAGAAAAGCAGTACAGTGTGTCAGGGAATAGGAATTGTCAAAATTCTTCATTGAGAAACTATGCTCATGGAGAGCAAAGCTGTGTGGTCTCAGAGAGACTGATGCCTTTCACTCCTGCAGCAGAGGGTAGAGTCTATCAGAGAATGAAAAATCTTTGAAGTAGAGGCTTTGGTACAGGAAATTTGAGGAAAAAGAAATAGACTGTTTCTTTTTGCTTGCTTAGAGTAAGTGCTTGATTTTCTCTGCCGGCTTTCATTGAACATTCCTGTCCCTGAAGATGGTTAATCAGGAGCAGATCTCAATATGCTGTTCAGTCTGTACCAGCCTCAGACCCTGAGCTGAATACACAAGTCAAGTAAATTGTTGGCTGCAGGGCTCAGGTGAGTGTAATGCAAACAGCTCCAAGACAACTATGCCAAAGCCAACAGCTGTCTCTGATCACCTTTTCCCACCTATAGGTCTTAGAAAAAACACATATTATTCATAAGCATGAAAGTTGCCCTTCCTAGCTTTTTCCTGAGACAGAGCACAGAAATGTCACTGTGAAAGTCTGCAGACAGAATTTTTTGTGAGTGGGTTTTATTTTCCACTCCTGAGCATGGTGTGAAAACTTAGTAGCTGCTGAGTTGAAAAATCTGATTTGTCAGGAAACTTTCCATGAGTTCATGTTGGTAGAGTAGCACAGAGACACTATCAAGTGTCCATGTGGCTTTCGTTGTGGAAATTTCAGCTAGGGTAATTACTGAGTAACCTATTTTATCAGCAGAGACCATTTGGGGAATCTAATGGCGTATCACCTCCTTGTTCCTGGCAAATGTCCCTGTCTTAAAAAGACATTAAGTGATAAGAATCAGAGAGGAACATAAATCCTGCAAAGTAGAACAGCAGGGACTTCAGCTAGGTGGATGTGATCAGTACATGGAATCCAATTATCTTCAGAACTATTAGGCTTAATTTCAATAGGGTAAAACTGGAAAAGAGAATGTACAAGAGTAGAGATTCCATCAGAATACTGAAAAACATAGTAGGGGTCCTCTTATCTGAGACAGAAACTGAGCCCAAGACATGCAAACAGAGAAAATTTTTGTTGATGGAATGTACGGTACAAGAAAATGGTCTTAATTGCAATATTCCTGCAAGAAAAGGGTAGAATCTGGAGAATGGGTTATTATTAACTCACACCTGACATGTCTTTCAGTAAAGGTTATTTACAATTGCAAAACTACAGAGACAACAGCACCAGCATAGGTTTTTAAAAGGTCTGGTATTTAAATTAGTCCAGTGGGAATGGGTTTCTTCCCATAACCTCAATTTAGAACTTGATCCATGTTCAAGTCACCTTCACAATGCAAAGTTTCTCAGACAACAGGGTTTTATTAAGATGAATGACAACTTTATTATTTTTAACTGTTTGTAAATCTGTTACTCAGAACTTGAGACAGAAAGAAAACTCAGGCGTGGAATGGGCATATGCTGCTCAAACTTGAGGAATATCTGTTTGCATTTGTACCTGCTGAGAAACAGATACAAACAGCAACCCAAGACTTCAAATGACTGCAGAAAGACTCTTTCTAGGACCTGAATTAACATGTTTTAAGTTAATTCAGGCAGCCCTGACACCATTACAAATATAACCTAAGGTAATCATGAGAAAGCAAATAATTAAATATTTAAAAAAATTTCTACACTTTTTTAATTTACTAATGTTATCAATCAGGAAAGTAGTATAGAAAAAGAATGGGTTTCACTTTGTCATCCCATATAACCAAGAGCATTTAAAAAAAAAAAGAGGTTATTTTCTCTTAGATGCATTTTCATTGTATTTTGAGGTAGTTCTGCCTGTACTTTTCCTGTAAAGATGCCACAATTCAAACACTCAAAGCATTTTGAATTCTTCTTTTTTTTATATTTATATAATAAGCCAGAAACTGGAAAAAAAACCTTTTGAACAAAGTCAGAGAAAAGAGATGACTGGAACGAGACATTAAAATAAAGTGTTGAATAAAATAGTGTTTCCTGTTCCATTGTATGCTTTGGAGTGGTATCTGTCATTGATGTTTTTTTCTGTCAGCATTTATGGATTGCAACAAAAAGTCCTGAGATTTCCAAGACCTGGCTGTGTGTCTGCTCACAGCTCTTCACAGCCATGGTCCAGCTGCAGGCAACAGGCTTCCCGGGCTCTCACTGTTTCTGTCCACTCTAATTAATCCTCTAACAACTACCTGGGAATGTTTTGTTGTTCTCCAGGACTGAGCAGTCTCTCGTCCAGGAAAATTGGCCTGGCCCAGAGAGTTGCACAGAAATAAGCAATAACTGCTCGAGTCCAAGCTTAGAGAATCTTGGTTTATTCATTTCATTTTTGTTTTACCTTTAGCAGTTTGCTCGTCACTGCCTATCTATCTGTGTAAATTTCTATAATGGTAAGGAATGGTTAGGGTTTGTCTCCTTTTTTGCAGACCAGTTTTCTTCATTATTCATTTATTTTCAATTTTTTTTTCTGCTATATGTAAGATACATGAAGATTGTCCTGTCTGGTCTCATCTAACGAGAGGCTGAACTTTTGGAGGAGCGGTTAATACAGATTTCAGTGCCCGGAGGTGAAGCATATGTGAATTCCCTACTGTTTATTTAGCCTTTTTTTATTTGGCAAGGGGAGGAACAAATAGGCTATGAAATCTCCCAGACAATTTGAAGCAAGGTTGTATGTATACTGCAGACACCATAAGGGTACCAGATTATGTCTGGAGCAGAGCTGGTTCTCAGTCAAGAACAAACCCTTTGTGGAGCACACCAGGGCACTCCCACGGTAGTGTGTACAGGGATCTTGACTCTTGGAGAGCAGCAATTACACCAGGCGTAGTAGAGTGGCTTCCACACAAGACACAAAGGGGAGAACAGCCACCAAAAGTCTGAAAGAGAACTAAGGATTAAGCAAAGTCTGAAGCCAGACATATCTGTCTAAATACATTTCTGAAGACGTTGTGCTTTGTGAGAATTGTTGACATTTGAGTGGCAGTTACATTATATATCAGGGCAAACTCAGTTTTCAGAGGAGGGATGGCAGGGATGAAGGACTGTTGTCAGAGATTCTGTCATACCTAACAGCCTAGGACAGGAAATCTGGGGTTGATTTCCTGATCTGAATGAAACACAGTGGGAATAATGAAAATGATCCACAAGCTGATGGGCAGAGAATTAGCAAAAATAAACAGGAAAGACAAAGCGGATTTATCCTGGGTTGAAATAATAATGTAACCACAAGTCTCTTTATTTCCTAGGTACATGTTCAGAAGGATGGTGTGTGGAGGGGGGAGGAAGGCTTCATAATGGAGGGTGAGTGAATTGATGGTCATGTTTACCTTTTTTGAGACTTCGGAAGGAATCCTTGTCCATGTGTACTGGAACGATGCATGTATTTAAAACTTTGTGTTCTACCTAGAATAGCTCCAAGAATTACCCATAAAAAGATTTTGACTATCACAAGTAAAAATCATTATGGGAACAGAAAACATTTTTTCACAGTGATGTGTCCAGATATTGGACCTTTCTTGCAAGGTTTAAGAGCTTAACTGGACAATGCCATGGGCAAGCTGCCATGCATAACTCCAAAATTGTTCCTGTCCTGAGCAGCCAGTTCTGACATTTGGATGTGTCTTCCAACATAATTTTTTCTATGATTTTTGCATAATATCTTATTGGTTTTGCTTTTGGGTTTTGGGGTTTTTTGTTTGTTTGTTTGGGGGTTTTTTCTTGGTTGTTTTGATTATTTTTTTTTCCTAAACAGCTGGTGATCTTTTCTGCAATTTGCATAAAAATACCAGAAGTTTCAAGGGATTTGAGTATGTATTTACTGGTGATCTTGAGACCTACGTGTAGCAGTTCATACCCTAACACTGCCTTATGCTGTCTAGCAGCCTTCCCTTTAGATAAGGCTTACCTCTGCACTTGCTTTTGGACACAGAAGATCTGAGTTAAGCTGTTGGCTTAGCCAGTGGCTTTCAGATCTTTCCCTTTAATATCCTGGATAAATTACAGGAATTTTTCTAAGTAGATCCTAAAAATCACTCAGAGACTTCAGAAAATGCCATATTCTATCCCTTCATCTGCAGCTAGAGACGGTAATAATTTTCCATGTTGCAGGAGGAATTGTGAGGATTCATGCACCTGTGTTTGCATGTCATGCAGCTTGTAGTGATAAGTGGCTTTATAAGTGTGTGGATAATTCAATTAAATCTATTCCATTTTGAGTGTAATATTACATACTCCATAAACTCAGCCATGTGGAGACACCAGCATTTAAAAATACATGTTCACTTCAGAAATACATCCAGTATTAAAAGTTGCTTTAAAGCTTGCACAGAAATTCTGTACACACAGTATATGGAAGGAATTGACATCCTTTCTAACTTCCATCAAGAGGTCACCTCTCAAAAGAAACAGAATTATCACTGGCATGGCACCAGAACTCACTCAGGAAAACTTAGTCCTCACTTAGCAGGCAGGCAGGAAAAGATGTGTTTGTTCATTAACAGCACCTCTTCAAAGCAGAGAAAAACCTGGAACCCTGAGTTTTGAGAACAAGTCACTCCAGAACAAGCTCCCATCAGTGGTGGCTTTTAAATCACACATGGAGAAAGAGAGAAACATGATGCCATTTGCTGGTGTAGGCTGGGGTAGACCTTTGAAATACTGATTTCACCAAAGGGGGTGTATAAAGACATGATAGGAATTAAAACCTCCAAACGGGTCCAAACAGTCAGCTTGAAAGATCTGCTTCATTCTGACCATGTTTGTCTGGTGGCACATTGTCAACAGTGCTGTCCAAACTGTGACTGATGGGAAGCAGCAGAAAGGCGTTTTGTTCCATCT